TAGACAAATCTGCTACACAAGACCTCTTTAAAGTGTTCAAGAACAAAAATTATCAGTTTGAGAGCTTAGGTGTGCCTGACCAAAGCCATAGTGTTTTCAATGCATGTGAAATTTGGAGAGTGCACTGGGAATATTGTAGAACTGATGCATTTAAGTTATGGTGCTGGAGAATATTAAAAGTACTATGGATTGTCAAAGAATAAAAAATCTGAGTAGGAAGATGTACAGCCAGAATGCCTGAAGGCAAAGTGGTGAGACATTGTCTCTCATACTTGGGACGTTATTAGAAGGGACCATACTTGGATCAACTATCAACACTCGCGGAAGCAGCAGTCAAGAGATCAGACCACGTATTGCATTGGGCTAATCTGCTGCACAGGAACTTTTTAAAGTATTGAAGAGCAGATATTATCAGCTTGAGGACTAAGGTGCGCCTGACCCAGGCCACAGTGTTTTCAATAGCCTCATATGGATGCGAAAGCTGAACAGTGAATAAGGAAGATAGTAGAAGAATTGATGCCTTTGAGTTGTAGTGTTGGAGGAGAATACTGAAAGTGCCATGGACTGCCAAAAGAACCAATAGGTCTATTTTGGAAGAAGTGTAACCAGAGTGCTCCTTGGAGGCCAAGATGGCTAGGCTTCGTCTCTCATACTTTGGACACATTGTCCGGAGAGAACAGTCGCTGGAGAAGGATGTCATGCTGGGTAAGGTGGAGGGTCAGAGAAAAAGAGGAAGACCCCCAACGAGATGGATCAGCCAGGTGACATCATTGATGGCATGAAGAAGTGTGGCGGCGGTAGTGAGGTTGGCCCAGGATCGGACATTGTTTCGTTCTGCTGTGTATGGGGTCGATATGAGTAGGTTCCGACTCGATGGCACCTGACAACAACAACATACTTGGAGGGGGATATCATACTGGGTATGTGGAGGGTCAGCTAAAAGGAGGAAGACCCTCCCCTCAAACAAATCAATTGTGAGGATGGGGTAGGATCAGGCAATGTTTCATTCTGTTGTACATAGGTCGCTATGAACCAACTTGATGGCACCTAACAACAACCTGGTGTTGTGCTTCAGGCTAATGTACTGGAAACCCTATACAGTGTTGCTAGGGGTCAGAACTAACTCAGTGGCACTTAACAACATTATGTAAATGTTGGTATTGTCTGGCTGGTCAAAACAAGTCAATAAAGTATTAAACAAATGTCTCCTCTCTCTTCAAGGGGTGAGTTCCAAAATGTTTCTCCAAATAAAAACACAACTTTCTTTCTTCTAGCTCTTGGTGGAAGAGACCAAGTTTAAAGACATTCATATATATTATAGTAAAACTGTTAGTATCATGAAGTCTAATGAGTATTTTGTACTTAAGCAATGGGTAGAATGAAACTCTACTTCAAAGGTGACAATTTAATAAAAAAGAAAAATAAAAGCTACCGTTACCTACTTTCACAAATGGTATCAAGTCTTCAAGTGAAGCACAAGTCTTCATAATAATTATTGGAGCACACATTATGTCACCATTTTCTACATAAATAAAGGTTCCAAAAGATAAAGCAACTTGCCTAAAGTCATACAGAACAAAGTAGTGGTGGTGGTGGCGATATGCTGTCAAGTTGGTTCCAACTCATAGTAACTTTGCTGAGCCTGTAAACAAGAAAGTCTCATCTTTCTCCCACAGAGAGACTGATAGATTAGAACTGCTGACCTTGCGATTAACAGCCCAGCTCACAATCCACTACGCTACCAGGACTCCTACAGAACAAAGTAGCACATCTGAAATGCAAGGCTAACACTCTAAGTCTCCCTGCTTTTGTTGTTTGCTGTTGAGCTGGTTCTGACTCATAATGGCTCTGTACAGGGTTTCCAAGAGTGGCTGGTGGGTATGAACTGCCTATCTTGTGGTTAGCAGTCCAGTGCTTTTCCTACAGTACCATAGTAGAACTCTAGTAACTGTAAGAAATCTTTAACAATCTTTACTATGAAGTTCAAGAGCCATATTTATAAATAACATAAATCAACCTACATAACTATGATTTGTTCAGCAGGGCTCTATAACATGGACATTTTATTATTTCCTACAAAGCAATACTAGTGAAAAAAACTGAAAAGTAATTTCCACATTTTTTTGAAAAGAACAAGTTTATTCAATGTGTCCTGAGTGAAGAATTTATATTGGAACAAATCATAGCTACGTTAACTCCTGTAAAAATAAAGACACTTGCATATTCTGATAATTACGTAAACTGATATAGTCCAGGATAGAGTCCTTATGTGGTGCTACAGAATAAGCACTGGACCACAAGGTCAGTTTGAACCACAAGGTCAGAGGTTCAAACTCACCAGCTGCTCCTCAGAAACGCTCTACAGGGTCACTATGAGTCTGAACTGACTGGATGGCACTTAATATTATTAGTCCAAGAGTCCTGGTGCAGCACTGCAGGATAATGTACTGGACTGCCAGACTGGTAGTTCAAACACACCAGCCACTCCTCGGAAACCCTACAGAGAGTCACAGTGAATCCAAATTAACTCAATGGCATTTAACAACAACAATATAGTTCAAATCCTGTAAAATAAATATAAAATAACTAGATTGTTTGTGTTAACACAAGTCATACAGAAAACTAAAAATGTAGATCTTGTCTTAGTTATCTGGTGCTGCTGTAACAGAAATACTTCAAGTGGCTGGCTTTATTAAAAAGAAGTAATCCTCTCCAAACTTAGTCCAGAGTCTGAATTCAGGAGCCCATTTTAGGGAAAGGCTTTCTCTCTGGCCACTTTGGGGGAAATTCCTCGTCTTCTTTCAACATCTGGGAGTCCCTGGGTGATCTCTATAGGTGTTGCCATCAATCTTCTCTTAGATACAGTGGCACTGTGGGTTAATGTGCTGCTCCTCAGAAATCCTATACCGGGTTGCTATGGTTGAAACCAACTTGACAGCACTTAACAACAACAGCAGCAGCAGCACAGGAATTCCAGGTCCGAAGGAATCACTCTACTCCCAGTTCTTTTTCTTGGTGGTTCTGTGGTCCCCATCTCTCTGTCTCCTTCTCTCTCCTTTAGTTGTTGTTGTTGTTAAGTACCATGGAGTCGGTCCCGACTCATAGTGACCCTGCACAGGGCTTCTGAGGCTGCAAATCTTTACGGGAGCAGAACGCCTCGTCTTTCTCCCGCGGAACAGCTGGTAGTTTCGAACTGCCAACCTTGAGGTTAGCAGCCCAATTCGTAACCACTACGCTACCAGAGCTCCTTCTCTCTCCTTTTATCTCTTGTAAAATAAAAGGTGAGGCAGGCCATACCTCAGAGAAACTCCCCTTATAGGGGTCACAGGTGTGACCTGAGTAAGGGTAATAAATCTTACTCAAATAACATAACCAACTATTCTCTTTAACATAACCGAATTCTAAAGGTTAGATTTAAAACATCACAAAATGGGAAATAATTATATCACATCACCAAATGGAAGACAAAACACACAATACTGGGAATCATGGGCTAGTAAAGTCGACACATATTTTTGGTTGGACACAATTCAATTGATAACAGATCTTAACTGTATCCAAATTTTTATCTAAAGCTAATGAACTGCAAGGTCCGTGGTTCAAGCTCACCAGCTGCTCCTTGGAAACCCTATACAGGGTCGCTATGGGTCAGAACTGACCTGACAGCACTTAACAACAACACAACAATGCATATCACCAGATAAGCACTTTTGTAATACTGTAGGAGGAGTATGGGGAATGATCTGGATTGTCCAATTCCTAAAATGTCTTCACTCAAAATAAAGACTCATTGTTAAGTCCCTTCAAGTTAGTTCCAATTCATAGGATGCCGAAACTTTTAAATCTTGGCAGAAGCAGCACGTCTTTCTTCCATAGAGCGGCTGGCAAGCTTGAACCTCAGACTTAGTGGTTTGCAGTCAAGTAATTATTGTATAAGGAGTCCTGGTGTGGCGCTGTGAGCTAATGGGTCAGACTGCAAAGTCATCTGAACTGCAAGGTCAGTTGTTCAAGCTCACCAGCAGCTCCAGGGTCACTATGGTTTGGAATCGACTCGATGACACTTTTAACAACAACAACAATTACTGTATGAAGCCACTGTGCTCCCAGATAAAGGATAGTTTTTTTTTTTTTTAAAGTCATTTAAATCCCATTGGCTTAGACTTATATTAGTGAGGTTTATCAATTTAAAATTTATCCTTAATGTGCTTAAGCAACATTCAGAAAAAGAATAAAGACATACTCTCCACCATACAGTTACTTGAGCTTTCTGGAATAACTGAAAACTAAAACATGGAGTCGATACTGACCATGGAGTCGATACTGACTCATGGGACCCCATCTGTGTCAGAGTAGAATGGTGCTCCAAAGGCTTTTTCCAATGACTGATTTCTGCTTCTTTCTTACGTAGCAGTTCAGGGCTATAACAATCACCCAGGGATGACGATGTACCATTCAAGTACAAACAATAACAATGTGCACTGCACTGAACCAAGGAGCATTCCCACAGCCTGACTGGTGTAAACACAAAGAAAAACTGAAATCAATTTTTCCTACTGAAAATAAGGAAAGCGGTTTCAACACTCCAGTTACAGAATTTAGGTAACTTGTAAATGCAAGGTCTTTCCTGTCTCTCTGAAAATTATGTAAATCAAGAATGTTTCCTCCAGGGGTTAGGAACCATCTAATTTGAAATAAAAGCAGCAAAGAATATTGCAGCCCAACCTCTTAGAAGGTAAAATGGCTCCAACTTTAAGGAAATTATCACAACTTTAGGTATTCTGCCATAAAGCCATAAAGAAAACCAGCAATTTACTTTAAATATGAATCTTACAGGTTGCATCCATTTTACTAGAAAAGGGGTTGTTGCTCTTGGTGGCAGTGGTGAGATCCATGTGTGTAGTCATAATCTATGTTGTTTAAAAAAGTATTTACAGCTTTACATTCACTCCAGCAATACCTGCAACTGAAGAGTCCTCCTATGGAGACAGCAGCTTCTCAGCATGGCCCAACAGTTTGTAAACAGCAGACTCCACCCAGGGATGGTGTTTGTGTTCATCAAACCCACCTGCCCCTACTGCAGAGAGGCCCAAAAGATCCTCTGCCAATTGCCTTTCAAACAAGGGCTTTTGGAATTTGTCAATATCACAGCCTCCAATGACATATATGCTGTTCAAGATTATCTCCAGCAGCTCACAGAAGAAGCAAGAACCATAGCTCAGGTTTTCATGGGTAATGGTTACATAAATGGATGCAGTCATCTAATAATTATGCAAGAAAATGGGGAGCTGTTGAAGTGGCTAGCAGATATGGGAGCTCTACAATAATTACAGAGTGGACCCCAGATTGATGTCCCTTTGGGACATGGATGACCGTGCCAGTAACAACAGCACTTCCTGGTGGATGGATCTGATGCTGTTCTTTCCTAGCTACAATAACTGTTTACTTAGTTTTGAAACACACTAACCAAAATGAAGTGGTGGAGGAAGATTATTTGACAAAAACTACTTTTTTATTTTGGATCAATATTTAAAAATGGACTACCTTGTCCTCCAAAAAACAGGGCCAAAATGGTTAAAGTATGGTCTTGGGTTTCTCTAGGTTGACCTTTTGGGTTCCAAAAGACCAGATCAAGTTCTGCCTTAGGATTCACTCACCAACCAAAAGGAGTTCTTCATTTTTGGCGTGTTTTTCCTAATATCTGTTCTCTATGTGCCAGCATTTTTCTCTACCTCTAAAACCAGTATTTGTAATCTTGTTTATCCCTGGCCCTTCAAGATTAATCTATACTGGTCTTCTGTAACTTCTGAACAACTGAATTCATTTCTGATTTTATCCCTATGGCACTGGTTCCTCTATCTTCCAACTTGCCATCTCACCCCACCCCACCCTGAGAATTATACTCTGAACCAGTTCTGTCAATGTTGACAACTCACAAATCTCATAGGAAATGTTAGACAAGTCTGCAGGATCTAAAGACCCAATCTGAGAAATTGTATGGAAAGTAAGGCACCATAAGTCTTCACAGGGGATGCCTATTCCTATATATGATGGTCATCCAGGTAATTCTAAACAAGAGTATATTGTGATTTAAGTTATCAGTAAATTTTTTTAAATTATTAAAGATTTGTTGTTTTATCCTTTAAAAAATGTAGAAGGAGTCAATTTGAGAAATGATTCTTTATCTTTCTTGCCTTTTTTTAACATTCTTATAACTCAATTCCTTACTGTGAAGTTTAGTTTTCTATTCAAGAGTTAGAAGATTAATTTCCTTAATGTGGTCTCTAGTACAAATAGTGAATTTAATTTAAAATAAAGTAAGCATAAATGAAAAAAAAAAGCTATTTGCAGTGAAAAAGTCATTGGTCTTACAAAATTCTATCATAGTGCGACAATTTGATGAACTTGACTTATACTTATGGATGTAGTAGCTCAAAATACCAACTGAGAGGGAAGGAGTCTTCACATCAAGTATCAATCCTATCCCTTCTGTATACAGGGTTGACACGAACGGGCAACTTAAGACACTGGCTACCTAAAATCGGGGGGTGAAGGGCTGGTTATAAAGGCATGAAGTGACTGGCTTACATATTTTCAAGAGGGAATTTAGTTCAAGAGTGTGCAGGGGAGGGTAGAATCCCCACTGAATAGTTTTCATCTTGACTAGATGGGTTTGGTAAAAGGCGATGAGGATAAGATTCTTATGATTTGATAGTGAATAATTGTTATCATGACTAACTACAACAGTCACAACTGTAAAGGTAGACGTTTTGTAACAAAAAAGGGGAGTAGTTAATCTTACAGTCCTGGAACAGAAAACCCTAGAACCATCAAGGGATAAAAGGGCAAGTGGAATGTGGGACCGCAGCCAGAGAAGCAGCAACACCAGAGATGGAGGTAGAGATGAGGACATGGAGAGATAGAGCAGCTGAGGACTCTAGACTCACGGAAAGAGAAAGGCTGTGTGCTGGCAGCCAGGAGGCGGGGTTGCAGAATGTGCCCTTTGGTTATTTAAATGATTATGGTCCCTCAGTGTTTTTATGTACATCCCTCCCTCCCCTAACACCAAAAAACAAAAAACCAGAGGGAACGTTGTTGTTGCTAAGTGCCGTCGAGTCGGTTCCGACCCATAGAGACCCTATATAGGGTTTCCAATGAGCTGCTGGTGAGCTTGAACCACTGACCTTGCAGTTCAAACAGCTTTGAAGTCTGGCACATTAACCCATAGCGCCATATAACTGTTGATATATGGACAAGATTGTAATCATTGCAATGAAATGATGAGTGTAAAACAGATGTTCTCCCATGTAAGCTATCACTCAGTTCACAATAAAATTTTAAAAATAAATTAAATAGAATCTCCATTATCATTCTATCACCAAGGCCGTATTTTCCAACTGGCGCTGTGGATTGATGCACCAGACTGCAAAGCCATCTGAACTGCAAGGTTGGCGGTTCAAGCTCACCAGCTGCTCCCTGGACACCCTATACAGAGTCGCTATGGGTCCGAAGACACTCGACAGCACTTAACAACAGCAATCCTTACTCTGTTTCCAATGTTTGCAATCCAATCACCAGCAATTATCAATGCATCTTGATTGCATGTTTGATCAATTTCAGCCTGAAGAAGTTGATAGAATTCTTCAACTTCATCATCACTGGCTTTGTAAATAATAGTGTTAACTGTTTTTTCTTGTCGGCTCATGATATATTATCCTATCACAGACAGCGTTGCACTTCAAGATAGATATTGAAATGTTCTTTGTGATGATGACTGTGACACCATTCCTCTTCAATGTGTCATTTCAGGCATAGTAGACTATATGATTATCAGATTCAAAATGGCATATTTTGAACCAAACCGTTTCAGGTCATTAATGCCTAGGATATCAATCTTTATGCGTTCCATTCTTTTTCTTACAACTTCCAATTTTTCTAGATTGTTATTTTATACATTCCTTCCTACGACTATTAATGCATATTTACAGCTGTTTCTCCTCATTTTGAGATGTGTCCCATCAGCAAATGAAGGTCCTGAGAGCTTTACTTCATTTGTGTCATCATGGTCAATTCTACTTTGAGAAGACAGTTGTTTCCAGCTGTAATCTGAGTGCCTTCCAACCTGAGGGTCTCATCTTCTGGTGCTATATCTGACAACATTCTGGTGATACTTATACTGCTTCAATATTCAATGTTCTGGTGTCATCTGGCAGTGTTCCAATGCTATTCCTAAGGTTTTCAATAGCTAAACATTTTACTAGAAGTAGTCCACCTCTTCTTCCTAATCTTGGTTGGAAAGCTCTGCTGAAACTTGTCCAACATGGGGAATGCTGCTGGCGTTTAAAATACTGGTGGCATAGCTTGTAGCATCACAGCTACATGCAATCCACAGGACAAACTGACAGATGAGTGATGGCCATACAGAAATAGTCTAAATCAATTTGATAACCTAAAAATACAAGCAATTTCTCAAATTAGAATCAGAACCCAAACCCCTATACCTATCCTGAAGACAGAAGTCTCCCATTTTTTATATTCTAGTCACATGCTTCTATGTGGTTCAATTCTCTAACATGGAAATTGACTAGGCAAAAGTGTTAAATCTGTGAGAGGTACTTTTTAGTATCAGAATTTATATCTACAATAAAACTATGGGAGCATAGTGGCTATGCAGGATAAGCACTGGATTGCGAACCTCAAAGACCATGGTTTGAGTCCACCAGCAACTCTGTGGGAGAAACATGAGGTTTTCTACTCCAGCAAAGATTTAGTTTTGGACACCCTATGAGGGTCCCTATGAGTTGGAACAGACTTGACTGCACTTACCAACCATCTACTAATAGCCATGAAATGAGTAAACACTGAAAGAAATACAAGGCAAAAAGTCAATAAATGAAGGGCCTTGACTCTCTTCTGTAAGCTCTTAATAGAACAAAGAATTAAAAAATCCTTCAATAAGTTGTTGTTGCTATGTACTATATCAAGCTGGTGGTTTTGAGCCACCAACCTGGTGGTTACCAGTCCGGTCCTTATCCTTTGTTGTTGTTAAATGCCATCAAGTCGGTTCCAACTCATAGCAACCCTGCATAGGGTTTCTGAGGAGCGGCCAGTGAGTTTGACTTGGGAAGTGTAGTAAAGCACTCTGGTAGCGTAGTGGTTACGAATCTGGCTGCGAACCGCAAGGTCAGCAGTTTGAAACTACCAGCCGTTCCACGGGAAAAAGATGAGGCTTTCTGCTCCCATACTGCCTCGGAAACCCTGTACAGGGTCGCTATGAGTCAGAACCGACTCCATGGCACACAGCCACCAGCCACCATATTTATGTAGTAGCACAGAATACCAACTAAGAAGGAAGGAGTCTTCACATCAAGGATCAAGCCTGTCCTCTCAGTTCCTCTCAGTATACAGGGTTGATAAGGACAGGCAAACTAGACACTGGCTACCTAAAATGGGGTCAGGGGTAGGGGGCTATAAAGGTATGAAGTAGCTGGCTAACAAGTTTTCAAGAGGGAGTTTAGTTTCAGAGCGTGTGTGTGTGTGGGAGGTGGGGGTAGAATCCCCACTAAATCGTTTTCATCTTGTCTAGATGTGTTTTGTGAAAGAAGATGGGGACAGGATTCTTTTGATTCAATAGTGAGTAATTGTTATCATGGCTAATTGCGATTGTCACAACTGTAAAGGTAGAAGTTTTGTAACATAAAGGGGGGTGGGGTAGGGAGTAGTTAATCTTCCATTCCAGGAACATTCTAGGACCATCAAGAGAAGAGAATGATCAGAATGTGGGACTCTAATCAAAGAAGAAGGGACACTAGAGAAGGAGGCAGAGGTGATGGCATGGAGAGACAGAGCAGCTGAGGACTCTAGATTCACGGAAAGAGAAAGGCTTTGTGCTGCCAGCCAGGAGTTTGGCTTGTAGAATGTGCCCTTTGGTTGTTTAAATGATTATATATTCCTGAATGTCTTTGAGTTTTTGTGTACATCAAAGAAAAGAAAACGAGGGAATAGAAGCAAATACTGTTAAATGATTCAAGGAGGGAATTGTAATCATTGCAATGAAACAAAATACGATAATGTACAATATTGACGGATTCCAGAGCAAAATATTGGAACAATGCAGGAAACATCAAAAAAAAAAAAAAAAAAAAAGACAGAAGGATTTATTGTATATATATTGCTACAATATACATATATTTGTGTGTGTGTGTGTGTGTGTGTGTGTGTGTGTGTGTGTATGAGAGTCCCGGTGTGGTGCTGCAGGTTGGTTAATGCGCTGGATTGCAAGGTCAGTTTGAAAAGCAAAGTCTGTGTTTCAAGCTCACCAGCTGCT